GAGCAAACTGATAAAATCATTTTACTAATTCAAAGCCTGGAGATAAACACAGGGTGACAAAGAGGCTGGGAAATCTATTAATACTGTCTGCCCAAGGGTTTCTCATCTTCACACATAATGTGAGTACAACAAATTTGGATGTTAATATCAGGTTGCAATCCCTATGTTTTAAAAACCCTGCTTGACAAGTATTGACAATAAGGAGTAGGAAATGGAGAAAAGTGCAACACTATGTAGTCATTAAAAGGAATGAGACAACTATATGCATTGATATAATCTGAGACATAATATTAGCTGAAAAAAGGAAAGAACAGCTATCATCTGTGTTTAACAACAGGAAGACCATATGTTCACAAGTTCTTCCTGATGCACACAACAGTCAACAAGACAGTCAACAGCAGTGCTGGGGCTCCACCTGGGGAGGAGCTGTGTGGTAACAGGAGTGAAGGGTGATTTACTTTCTGTTCATAAATTCTTAAAAAGTATTTTTAAAAGATTTTAAATTTTGTAGCAGTATATGTATCATGTTTCAAAACTTATTATTAAAAATAACTTTTAATTATTTACAGCAGCAGTTCCCAATCTTTTAGGCACCAGGAATCCAGTTTCATGGGACAAGTTGTTCACAGACAGGACAGGGGTGGGAGGGGAGGAGGTTCAGGTGTAATGTGAGTGATGGGGAGCAGCAGATGAAGCTTTGCTCACCAGCCCACCGCTCTTTTCCTGTTGTGTGGCCCAGTTCCTAAGAGCCCATGGAGTGGTACAGGTCTGTGGTCTAGTGGTTGGGGATCCCTGATTTAGAGTCTCTGAAGCTACTTAGAAGGATATGGGTATATTTGTTTTATTATTGGGAGGCAAGGCTTCTGACTATAGCCTTTACAAAATGATCCCTTTTAATTTTATTTTTTTTAATTGAAGGATAATTGCTTTACAGAATAGTGTTGGTTTCTGCCAAACATCAACATGAATGAGCCTTAGGTATACATACGTGCCCTCCTTCTTGAACCTCCCTCCCATCTCCCTTCTCATCCCCCCCTTCTAGATTGTTACAGAGCCCAGGTTTGAGTTCCCAGAGTCATAGAGCAAATTCCAACTGTCTATTTTACATTCCTTAATGTAAGTTTCCATGTTACTCTCTCCATACATCCCACCATCTCCTTCCTACCCCCATCCCACCAGGCCCATAAGTCTGTTCCCTATGTCTATGTCTCCATTGCTGCCCTGCAAATAATTTCATCAGTACAATCTTTCTAGATTCTATATATACATATTGGTATATGATACTTATTTTTCTCTAACTTACTTCAATCTGTATAATAGGCTCTAGATTCATCCACCTCATTAGAACTGACTCAAATGTGTTCCTTTCTATGGCTGAGTAATATTCCACTGTGCATATGTACCACAGCTTCTTTATCCATTCATCTGTCAATGGACATCTAGGTTGCTTCCATGTTCTAGCTATTGTAAGTCATGCTGCTACAACATTGGGGGTACACATGTCTTTTTCAATTTTGGTTTCCCCCAGAATATATGCCTAGTAGTGGGATTGCTAGGTCATATGGTTGTTTCACTCATAGTTTTTTAATGAATCTCTGTACTGTCTTCCATAGTGGTTGCATCAACTTACATTCCCACCAATAGTGAAAGAGGGTTCCCTTTTCTCTCTCCAGCATTTCGTGCTTGTAGACTTTTCGATGACGGCCATTCTGATGGGTGTGAGGTGATATCTCACTGTGGTTTTGATTTGCATTTCTCTAACAATGAGCAATGTTGAGCATCTTTTCATGTGTTTGTTAGCCATCTGTATGTCTTCTTTGGATAAATATATGCTTATGTCTTTTCCCCACTTTTTGACTGGGTTGTTTGTTTTTCTGGAACTGACTTGCATGGAAGTGTGGTAGTGTTAGCATCTCAGTTGTGTATGACTCTTTGCGACCCCATGGACTGTAGCCCACCAGGCTCCTCTGTCCATGGGAATCTCCAGGCAAGAATACTGAGGTGGGTTGCCATTTCCTACTCCAGAAGATCTTCCTGACCCAGGGATTGAACCTGGGTCTTGCACATTGCAGGGTTCTCCCTCATTGCAGGCAGATTCTTTACTGTCTGAGTCACTCGGGAAGCCCAGCATGGGCAGCTTGTATATTTTGGAAATTAACCCCTTGTCAGTTGTTTCATTTGCTATGATTTTCTCCCATTCTGCGGGTTGGAAAAATGATCCCACTTTTATACTGTAAAACACTCTATAGTCTCAAAGCATTTAAGCATCTGCTCTCTCATCTGATCCCTGTAATGAGTGTGAAGAAACTGGCAGAACTGTAATCCCTGCTCTACACACAGGTGAGGACCTGAGGCTCAGAGGCCTCAGGGGACACAAGGCCACATGGATGCTAAATGCCTCCTCCATTGATTCAAACTGGGCCAGGCACCTAGAACTAGGATATTAGGATTTTGTAACTTCTGGGCTGTATTAAGTGATTTTATGAATAGACTAAATAATAGCTTTGTTACACACCGGGAGCAAAGAAACTTCAAAAAAAACTTCAACCAGGTCTGCTTCATCACAGAACAGAATGAATGACGGGCATTTATTCTTTGTTTGAGTTGAATTGTGTCCCCTCCAATTTTACATGTTGAAGTCCTAAACCTGCCAGTACCTCAGAATGTGACTGCACTTGAAGACGGTCTTTAAAGAGGCAAAAAAGTTAAAATGAAGTAAAACAGGTGGGTCCTAATCTAACAGACTGGAATTCTTATAAGAAGAGAAGATCAGGACACAGGTACAGAGGGAAGGCCATGTGAAGACACAGAGGAAAGATGGCATCTCCAAGCCAAGGAGAGAGACCTCAGAAGAAACCAACCCTACTGGCACCTTGACCTCAAGACCTTCATCCTCCCGGGCTGTGAGAAAATAAATTTATGTTGTTTAAGTCATCTACTCTGTGGTACTTTGTATGGCAGTCCTAGCAAACTAATGTCCCTTCAGCTTTGTGTATCTGAAAGGTAATTTCTCTGCTATTTCATGGATCATCTAAAAGGGTCAATCAGACAGTGATTCAGCTCACCTGAACTATGTATTTTAAAAAATGTGACTTGGAAGCACCTTTTCCAAGCTGTTGAGTTTTCTTTTCAGATGAAGGAATTCTGTTCTAATAGAGTGGAAATTTTGTTGACTTAAGCTAATGCTCCTGGTGTTATAGCTCTGAACAATTCATTGGTATCTGATGCTTGCACATCCAAAAACCTGATAATCTGACAGCTTACCTAAGAGGATGCAGAGTATGCAGAAAGAATGTCAAGATGTTCAACTGGGATGAGGATCAAGAAATGCTTTTTTTTTTTTTTTTTTTTTCTGTAGAGGTGACCTGACCCAGTAGCAGGACTGCAACTCAAGGGTGAGGTTCTGCCACTCTGTGAACCTGGATGATGGCCCCACCTTGGCTACCACATGAAAGAAGCAGTGTTCTCAGACTTGACACAGAACACAGTACCTAGGTTGGCTCTCAACTTCCCCCAGCAATTGCCCCTCTGTGTTCCCTGAACCAGCTTTGTGACCTTAGGTGAGCCCTGGACCCACTTTCCTCATCCATGACATGGATAAAAATGGACTATCATGAGATTACATGATATCATACATGTGAGAACAATGTAAAATAAATTACAAAGAACTACACAAATGTAACTTACCCTGAATATTGTTAAGAGTAGGTGCAGGATTACTAGACCAGGAAGCACAAGATTTCTAATTCTATGACCCATGTCTGTTTTTATATGTATGTTGCACCTGATTTAAAACATTTACTGAAAGAAAAGATTTCTAATTCTGTATCTGCTGCAAACTAACAACACCAATTATATACATAGGGCCACCTTCGTTCTAAGGGGCCTTAGTTTCATCACCTGTAAAATGAGGTTGTTGAAACCTGTTATGTTATCTGGACCTATCAGAGATTCTGTGATATACTTCTCATTACTCAATGTCTTGATAACACATAATGATAATAGTATTTAAATGAAGACTTTGACACAGGTGGGTACACCTCTTTCTGATGTGAAATGCCTAAGGTGGAAAGACCAAAAGAGTTTGATTCCTAGCTGTCTTGTGATTTGGTCACACAGAAACTGACAAATGCTTATCAAGTCTTCAATGACTGGCAGACTCTCGAATTAATGAAAGTGCTCTGTGAATTTCAGGCATTAAGAAAAAATATAGGGTGATATATGGCTCGGATGGTAAAGAATTTGTCCTCAATGTGGGAGACTGGAGTTCGATCCCTGGGTTGGGAAGATCCCCTGAAGAAGGGAATGGCAACCCACTCCAGTATTCTTGCCTGCAAAATTCCATGGACAGAGGAGACTGGTAAGCTACAGACAATGGTGTTGCAGAGTCAAACATGACTTGACGACTAACACACACACTCTACAGTTGCATACAATATAAGTACTTTGGAAAAGTTCAGAACACAGACTTTCTTGTCCCTAAACCTAAGTACAGACTCTAACTCTGCCACCTTTTCAGCCAGCTCTGCAACCCAGGAAGTCTCCTACACTATGAGCAGTGGAAGGTCCTGCTCTGCATTTCTTCATTTCTAAGGAGGGTTGAGATGAGACAGTGATGAACTAAGGCCACATTTTAGATAAATGTTTCATATAATAGTACTTAAGATACTGGGACATGTTTTCTTTAAGACATTTAAAATATTACACTAGTAATCTTATTCTACTCACAAGTGAAAATCTGTGAAATGCACAAAAGTATGAAGAATAGAAAATATACCCACAATTTAATACTAGGAGATAAATTTTCTATGGGGAAGCCTCACCACAGGCAGCTGGAAGCCTCATCCCACCCCAAACCCTGCAGGTCAAGGGTCAAGAACACCAGACCTTCCTTCCCTCCCTCTATCCTCCCATCAACCCTATTCCCACTCCCACCTCCTTCCAGAAAGACTTACAGATGGCTGTATGACAACGGCTAAATCTCCTACACTAGACTTCAGTCACCATCTCACCTTTGTTAGGAAGATATCACGTGACCTGAATGTTACCCATCGATCCCCTTCCTCACACCATGCACAGTGCTTAGTCCTTCACACACCTCATCTCTGAGAAAGTGCTCTATAAACCTTCAAGCACCATTCAGACTACAGTGTGAAGGAATTATGAGTTCTTGATTTGTCCTGATGACAATTTCATTTTCTAGAAGGTAGAGGAAGCCTGGGGGTGGTGAGTGGCAAAAGGGAGAAACTTGCAGTATCATGTAGAAGTTTTCTTTACAGATTAGAAAACAGAAAGACCTACACCGTTCCCAGGAAGGTCTTCCTAGAATCAAAATATTTCAAAAAATGATCCCCCGAACTCTCAAATTTCCTGGATATTCCTTGACAGAACTTGCATCACAAATATGTTGAGCACCAATCAGAATGAATGTAAAGGGTCTGCAAAATGAGAGTGTTCTGTGCTCTATGAGAATCTGAACCCAGAGTCCAGAAGTGTGGAAAGTCCAATCTGACATCTCTGTCGCAGGCACAGGTATGCAAACAGAAGAGTTCATGTATGGTGACCCCATCCCCACCACTGCTGCAGATTCTCAGCAGACCTGCTCTTAACCTCCCATGTGTTAAGACCCACTCATGAAGCTTAGTCTCTGGAGGTTTATAAGGGCATAGAGTGCTTGTTATTAGACACTTGATAGAGATCTTATGAAGAGGGAACCTGGAGACAAACTTTAATGACAACTCCCTGTCCTATTTTGCCCTTTCAGTGAGGACAGCTACTTCCTCCTTGCCCAGTTGTTGCACCATTTTATAAAACAGACTGTTTCTATTCTGCAGCAAATCATTTGGCTGACCAGTTTCTTTCCGTCTCCCTGATTCCAAAACCTGTAAACAGCAAAAAGAAACCCATTAGTACATAATGTCTCCCAGTAACATATTATAACTCAGACAGTATTTCAAAAAGTGGCAGGATAGTGAAACAGAGAAAATCTATTTGATTAGTAGGACTGGCTGATGTTTTAATAGTTTGATTAATTTGTTTTACTAGGCAGACAAAGGCCTAACCTGACCTTTTAATATTATAATGTTATAGGAAAGAAAGAAAATATAAGCTTTAGACTATGACTACTGGTACTCTATAACATCTTATTTTATATTCAGGGCATTTGGTGTTGTTATCATTAGCACCTTTAGCTCTCAGACTCTGAGCTTTGAGGCAATTTATACAGATACACAGAGTTGGCAAATATCTTCATTCAAGAAAATGAAACTCCATTTACCTAAAAAGTAGCTTGATGTCATACAAACCAGAGGGCAGTGCCCTGACAACAAATTAATGGTCGATTTGACAATCTGAGCAATATTTGAGGGAAAAAGCAAATGCTTCCAGGATTTCTTAAGGGTCCTGGATTATGTCAGCTTCTAAGAGGAACAGAGTACTTGTCCAAGGGGTTGAGATATTTCTTGAAGCTGGATGTGGTTGTAGTTTATTCTTCTGAGAGTGAAAGGCTGGCAAAAGGAGCTGGCACATAAGCACGCACAGAAGAAATCTCTAGAAATCCAGTTTTCTCTTTAGATAAGACTAAAGAAGCAAGTAAGAAATTGAGCTCCAAATCCCAGTGATCATGGCCTACAGAGCACAAGGGGCCAGCCCAACCTGAACTGCCTAGGATCTGGATCTGTTTCCACAAATTATCTTTCTTTCCTCGTTTCTCTTTCTTCAGCTGCTTTCCCTTCACCCCTTTTATTGCTCATTAATAAGTTTGCTACATATAAACTGAAAGGGAGAGGAAGGGGTCCTTCATTCTGCCTTTCTACTTATTAGTGACTTTGGTTAATGGTTCTGGATGGGGAAAATGTGTCTGAAACAATTGGCCCAAGTGATATAATTATAAAAACAGTTCTGATGTTCAGTGGTATTTAATTCTTCATTTAGGTCATATTTGGAATAAATGCATATTAAGAGAATATGCTGGATGGGCTTCCCTGGCGGCTCAGGGGTAGAAGAATCAGCCTACCAATGCAGGAGTCTTGTGTGCCATCCCTGGTCCAGAAAGATCGCACATGCCACAGAGCAACTAAGCCCATGTGCCATAACTACAGAGCCTGTGGTCTAGAGCACAGGAGCCTCAACTATTGAGCCCACATGCTTGGAGCCCATGCTCCACAACAAGAGAGCCCATGCAAAGAGAAGTCTGCACACACCAATGAAGAGTAGCCCCTACTCGCTGCAACTAGAGAAAAGTCAGTGCAGCAAGGAAGACCCAGCACAGCCTAAAATAAATAAATAAAGTGTTTTTTTTTTTTTAAAGAACAGAATATGCAGGGACTCTAAATAAGACATAGTTTTGTGTTTTTTTTCCCCCCAACATATAGGTACTATAGTTAATTTTATCATTTGCATTTAATTGGAAACATTTATTAGTCTCATAAATGCCATTTTCCTGTTAATCATTTGTTTACTACTGGGAATCACTGTTAAAGGTAGCTTTCTCAAAAGAATCCAAGAATAATTGAATCTGTTTCATCCACTTAATGGGCTTCCAAGGTAACTCAGTGGGTAAAGAATCTGCCTGCAATGAAGGAGACACAAGAGACACAGGTTCGATCCCGGGGTTGGGAAGATCCCCTGGAGAAGGGCATGGCAACCCATTCTAGTATTCTTGCCTGGAAAATCATATGGACAGGGGAGCCTGGTGGACTACAGTCCATGGGATGGTAAAGAGTTTTTATGACTTTATTTATGACTTTTATTTATTTATTTATGACTTTATTTATGACTGAGCAACTTTCACTTTCACATCTGCATAGTAATTTAAATGTTCAGTGAAAGTTGTTCACTCATGTCCGACTCTTTATGACCCCGTGGGGCTGTAGTCCACCAGGCTCCTCTGTCCATGGAATTCTCCATGTAAGAATACTGGAGCCGGTAGCCATCTCCTTCTCCAGGGGATCTTCCTGACCCAGGGATTAAACTCAGGTCTCCTGCATTGCAGGTGGAATCTTTACCATCTGAGTTACCAGGGAAGCCCTGTAACGTGGCATGTCAATTTAGATGCCTCAGATGTGCAATTCTGCTTAAGCATAGCATAACAGAATATAACTACCACTCCTGATGTTAAAGAAGAAAAACTGCAGTTTTAAAACAATTGGTCTCCACACATCTATATCAATTAACCAATGAAACAGCAAACAAGAATCGGAGAAAAGACAGTTTCTATGGTAAATAGTACTGGGAAAGCTGAATACCTGAAAATATATGAAATTAGATACTCCCTCACATCATGCACAAAAATAAACTCAAAATGGCTTCAAGATCTAATATAAGACTGGGAACTACAAAACTAAATGAAAACACAGGCAAAAGACTCTTTGACATAAATCACAGCAATATTTTTTTTTTTAGATTAGTCTCCTGAAGCAAAAGAAATAAAAGCAAAAACAAATGGAACCTAATAAAACTTAAAAGCCAAGGCTCATGTAGAGGCTACAAGAGCTGAGATGGGTCACAGACTGAAAAAACAGAAGAAATAGAATTTTACCAACTTAGCCTTTACATTTACTGATTTGGTCAAAGACTCTAGATATTTCAGAACAGATAAACATAAAGCAAATCCAAATCCTCGTTATGTACTGAAAAATAGGTATAATTTTGGATTTTTTAACATCCCTTATAAGAAAAAGCTCCTACAATCTCCCATTAGGTCCCCAACTCTTCTCGCAACCCAAGATAAACTGTAAAGTAAGCCACATATTCAAGTTGGTATGATAACAATCCCCAAACCCTAGGATCTCTCCAGGAACCCCAACCGTGAATTGCTTATAAAGCTCTAGTAGGTTAAGTAAAAATACATTATGTTGGATGAGTAAGTCAGTTACATAAGCTCAATGAAGATGTGTTTATGAAGCCTGTTTATGTGCAGATATTCCAGACAGCTGTCCTAGAAATAAAAATGAAATGGACTCACTGAAAGATAATTTGATCCATTTTTACTGGCAGGATGTCATCAGTGATAAAGAAGAATGCAAGGAGAGGTGGGTGAATGCACCAAAAGGCGGTGGTGCCCAGGAGAGGATGGAGGAAAAGCCTGATAAGAAAGATGCTGGGAAATGATGACAAAAATAGAGAGAGATCCCACTGACCAACAAGGAGAGTGGGGAGGGGGAGATCTGAGTGTCAGATCTGTCTCTGGCTGCCAGGTGATGACGCGGGACAGCAGTCCAACCCTGGAAGGTGTGTCCTCATCGGTAAAATGGGTACCTGTGATTTTCTCAGTGACTTGACAATGTGGCGAGTATTAACTCAAAATCCTGTCTTGGGTCTTGAAACAGTAAATCATTCTTCTCACTGGGGAGGGATGAAGGCTGGGTCAAGGCAACCTCCTCAGCCACTCTCCCAAAGCTGCTGCCTTTGCACACAAGCGCCCCCCTCATAAAGTATTTCTTCTCCCCAACTGCACTTTCTACCTCAGTGTTAGTTATCTTTCCTCTGAAAACTTGAGTGAAATCTCTTGGAGTGTTTTTGAAGGAGCTTTTCTTTTCTCAAATGTTCTAAATGCATCATGTAGGTTTATGAAAGAAAAGTTCCATTAAGGTGAAAAATTGAATTTAAATAAAACTCTAGTTAGGTTGAGCTGTTTTATGCTTTTCAGGTGGGGGTGTTAAAACTGTTTCCGATCTTCACTTCGGTGGGAAAAATTCTAAGTAGAGGTTTGAGATGACGAAGAAACAATGAATATAAAACCATAAGATGGACTATAAACAGAAGAGGTGGGATCTGAGGTTCTCAGCTCTGCTTTTGGTTCTTCATCATTCATTTCCAGAGAATTCTCTCACTGAGGACAGTGAAAGTGTTGACCACAGACAACACTGTTAGAGCAACTGCAGATTGTCAGATGCTTCCTTTGTTCACACCAACAGGAGAATCCAGGTGATATGAAGGCAGCAGCATGCAGAGACTGGAGGGAAAAGCTGGGCTGTTGACTGCAGAGAAAGCAGGTCACAAGCACCCAGCTACTCTCAAAAACCACAGGAAGAACCCTCTAGTGTAGAGAGAGTGGTGAGTCTTAGGATAAAGAGCATTTCTAATTTGTCTGTCTTGCTCCACTGTTTTGTGGCAACAGAGAAAGTAAGGAAGATTATATTAGATGTCATTATGACTCCATCATGTTTAATGAATGTTGAGAGAACTTCTTTGTGAAATAGAATTCTAAGCCTGACACATGAATGGTGCTTAATGAACTGAAGCAGGGTAAATCCCTTTGGAGAGACAACACATAAACAAAGCTATTAATTAAGTCACACTTGTTTCCCAACAAGCCCTTTCTCTGATTTACTTACAGTGAACAAAATCATATCCATCTAATCATTTCAAGATTTTTTATAAAAGTGACAATTTGAAAAATATATAGATGTCTAAGTTTGAGATTAATTATGCTCTATCCCTGTGATGAAATTTTAGGCGGCTTTAAGAACTGAGCTGTGGAAAATTAATAAATGACATGGGGAATTTTAAGAATACATAAAAATTCTGGTAATGAAATATTCTGTTTTGTAGAATAAAACAAATTACTAAAATGGCTCTAATGTTATCCAAATAATATTATAGCACTATATAACTGCCACTTTCTGGTAATGGGAATTTTGTAAACTTGCCTTTATGAGATTTTCTTTTATTTTCCTATTTCTACCTTGCACATTTATTGCTTTTTTATAACAAAAAATATTTTTACAGATTAGATTCAATTAAAAATAGAATTAAGAAAATATACTCATATATCTTTCTGAGGAAGTATTCACGTGTAATAAAATGTAATTATTACACCTTATCACTTGCAATGATAGGACTTTATGGTGACAACCCTGTCGGTTATGCCCTTCATCAGCATCTGTCACTTGCCCAGCTACTCCTTGAGGCTGGTCACCCGCCCTCTGGAGCATCAGGCTTTGAAGCAGATTGACTTGTCTTTATATCCACATTAAAGCTTTCAGAATAGACAGTCACCTGTTTTCCAGAAAGGAAAGAGGTACAGTCATCCCTCAGTGTCGGTACAGTCCCAGAACACCAGAATGAAGTGAATATGGCAGTAAAGTGAATCACATGAATGTTCTGGTTCCTCAGAACATACAGAAGTTATGTTTACATGACACTTGCCTATCAAGTGTGCAATAGCATTGTTTCTGAGAAAACAATGTAGAGACCTTAGCCTAAAAACAATGCATTGCTTAAAAAAAAAAAAAATACTAACCAACAGAGGAGACTTCAGCAAGTCATAGCAGTAACATTGATGTTACAGATCACCAGAGAAACTATAATGATTGTGAAAAAGTTTGACATATAATGAGAATTACCAAAAGGTGAGACAGAGAACTGGAATGAGGAAATACTCTTTGAAAAATGGCGCCCATAGACTTGCAGGGTTATGATAAGCTCTCAATTTGCAAAAACGCAGTATCTTGGAAGTACAATAAAAAAGGGATGTCTATTTCTAAAGCAAGAAATACAAATAAGGTTCAAATTGGGAAAGGAGTATGTTAAGGTTGTATATTGTCACCCTGCTTATTTAATATATATGCAGAGTACATCATGCAAAATGTCGGGCTGGATGAAGCTCAAGCTGGAATCAAAATTGCCAGGAGAAATATCAATAACCTCCGATATGGAGATGACACCACCATTATGGCAGAATCAAAGAGGAACTAAAGAGCCTCTTGATGAGAGGAACTAAAGAGCCTCTTCATGAAAGTGAAAGAGGAGAGTGAAAAAAGCTGGCTTAAAACTCAGCATTCAAAAGACGAAGATCACAACATCCAGTGCCATCACTTCATGGCAAATAGATGGGGAAACAATGGAAACAGTGACAGACTTTATTTTCTTGGGCTCCAAAATCATTGTAGACAGTGACTGCAGCCATGAAATTAAAAAGACACTTGATCCTTGGAAGAAAAGCTATGACAAACCTAGACAGCGTATTAAAAAGCTGAGACTTTACTTTGCCAACCAAGTTCCGTCTAGTCAAAGCTATACGGTTTTTCCATATAGTCATGTATGGATGTTAGAGTTTGACCATAAAGAAGGCTGAGCACCAAAGAATTGATGCTTTCAAACTGTGGTGATAGAGAAGACTCTTGAGAGTCCCTTGGACTGAGAGAATATTAAACCAGTAAATCCTAAAGGAAATCAAGCCTGAATATCTGTTGGAAGGACTGATGCTAAAGCTGAAGCTCCAAGACTTTGGCCACCTGATGCAAAGAGCTGATTCATTGGAAAAGACTCTGATGCTGGGAAAGATTGAAAGCAGGAGGAGAAGGAGAAGGGGACGACAGAGGATGAGGCAGTTGGACAAAGTCACAGACTCAACAGACATGAATTTGAACAAACTGGGACATAGTGAAGCACAAGGAGGCCTGGTATGCTGAATTTCATGGGGTCACGAAAAATCAGACATGACTGAGTGACTGAACAACAACAATTTTCAGGAAAGAGAGGAGAAACTAAGAGAAAATTAATTACTGGAGGTTCCTATCAAGTTTGACAAGGAAGGATACATTGAAAAATTGAACATAAGTGAAATCAACTAAAATGGTGAGAGTCTTACTGATATCCGTTGACAGTCGATGACATTGCTCAACCTGTGTGTGATGGTTAGCACAGTGCAGTGAGCAAATTTCTCACGAATTTTTTTCTGTATTAACTCATCAGTTCTAGAATCAAAGAAATTAATTTATTTCAGTAAAGATAGTTAAAGCAGACTTATGACTTAAAAATATCATGATACTTTTATAATATTTTTAAAAATCAGTACCTTAACGTATAATCTTGTTCCTAAAAAACTAAGTATAAAAAGTCTATTTAGAAATTTACTGTTTTTCAAAAATGGAAAATAGTCTTCCCTCAAAATTGCTTGATATTATGAGCTGGATTTAGGAATCTAGCTCTCTCAGGATGCCTCATAACAACATTAACCCTATATAACATGTCTTGGTTTTTCCTTTGTTTTCTGGAATTAATATTATCAAGAAATATCCATGAGGCCAAGAGAACACTTAGAAACATTTCTAAGCATCACTAAATGTTTCCCATTTACCACCTTTAGAATTCAAGAATTCAGATTCAAGGTGTCCTGGATCTCAGCTCCATACCTTGGATCCACATTTGATGTGGCTTTGTCAATAATCAATATCTGATTTTTTTTGAGAATAGCCCGAGCAAGGCACACCAGTTGTCTCTGTCCAACACTCAAGTTCAATCCAGATTCTGCTAATTCAGCATTCATTTTACCAGGAAGATGTTCAATGTTGTCTTTAAGTTGCACCTGTGGATACAGAAAGAATGACATTTTCCTAAACAAACTGTTATTGAAGTAGACAAGCCTCTTACACATTAGAACTCTGACATCCTCAGGACTTCTTATGTATCTTACATGTACAGCCAGGTTATGGGGAAAGCTCTTTCCAAAGAGCGTTCACTGAGAAAGACGGTGGAGTCAAGTCAGGACAGAAAGAAATCAATGTCCACCATCCCTGCCAAAGGACATCTTCCAGAAACCCCACCTAGGGTTAGTTAAGGAAGTCTCTAAAAAAATGAAGCTTTTTCTCATTAAACTTGTCTGTTTCAATGTGGTTTAAACAGACAAGTTAAAACAATCTTTATGGTTGAGTCAAGTTTCCCAAAGTTCATTTTGCATAGGAGTTGGTACACTAAAGAAAAACTTCAAAAATGTTTACAGTAAGTCTTTTTCTCTGAAGATAAAATCTTATCAGCACATTTGGTTTTAGAAAAGGCAGAGAAACCAGAGATCAAATTGCCATCAACCACTGGATCATCGAAAAAGAAAGAGTTTCAGAAAAACATCTATTTCTGCTTTATTGACTATGCTAAAGCCTTTGACTATGTACATCATAATAAACTGTGGAAAATTCTGAAGGAGATTGGAATACCAGACCACCTGACCTGCCTCTTGAGAAACCTGTATGCAGGTCAGGAAGTAAAGGTCTGTCTAGTCAAGGCTATGGTTTTTCCAGTGGTCATGTATGGATGTGAGAGTTGGACTGTGAAGAAAGCTGAGCACTGAAGAACTGATGCTTTTGAACTGTGGTATGGGGGAAGACTCTTGAAAGTCCCTTGGACTGCAAGGAGATCCAACCAGTCCATCCTAAAGCAGATCAGTCCTGGGTGTTCATTGGAAGGACTGATGCTATAGCTGAAACTCCAATACTTTGGCCATCTGATGTGAAGTACTGACTCATTGGAAAGACCCTGATGCTGGGAAAGATTGAGGGCAGGAGGAGAAGGGGATGGCAGAGGATGAGATGGTTGGATGGCATCACTGATTCAATGGACATGGGTTTGGGTAGACCCTGGGAGCTGGTGATGGATAGGGAGTCCTGGCGTGCTTCGGTTCATGGGGTCACAAAGAGTCAGACACAACTGAGCGACTGAACTGAATGGAAAATACACAAATTCAAACAACGGCAAACTGCAGCTTATACATTGGTAATCCTGGAACCTGCTCTGGTGATGGTTCTTTCCCAAGTTTAATTCTATAAATAGTGGACCAATCTTCATTTTCCTCAGTGTCATAAATGTCTTGCAGTGAATGAAAACTCATGAAAAATAAGACACAGTGTCTTATTTCCCCCAGAATATGGATATACGTGATGTTTATATTAATCTATCTTCATAAAGTTATACTCCAAAGATTAGAAAAAGCAAACTTTTAACTGCCAAAGATAATCTGAAACTACATTTGGTGGTAGGGATCAGTTCTATAAATATTTATTTTGGAAAAGTATTATAGAGGAAGAACCAAACTCAGGCTTTATTTGAAGAACAAAAAAGACATACACTCCAAATTAAGAGACCAACAGATTGATGAGTGATGGCTGATAAATTATCTGACACTTTACAATGTCAGATAACAACACACCAAGGATGAGTGAGCAGTGTTTTTAATTTTTCATTTTTCAGGTATCCTAAATGCTGGAGCACATCTATGAACATGGACCTGAATTGTGTTCCAGATGGGACTCCGATCCCATGAAAAGGGAATTCTGAGTTAGGATTAAATATGATATTTGTAGGTAGTGTTAGCATGAAAAGTACATAAAATCTAAAGGGTAAGATTTGGATTGTGGTGCAAGTGGTTGGATTTGCTTAAGACTGACATCCTGACTCACACTTGCCTCTGACTTGAATGACATCTCATCACTAATTTGATTTTATACTTTCCTTCGAGTTTGTCCATATCTGCTTCATGAGGAAAAAGGGTTGTGAGGAGAAATGTTTTTCAAAAAATGTTAATTTCTGAGACTCTGTCTTCATTTATAAATCAGGGATGGTTATGAGAATATATGACTATGAAGGCCCTCTGTAATGTAATGATAAAATCAAATTATAATTAAGTTTTTTAAATGGGAAAAAAAGACAATAGAAGCAGAGACAATAAAGAGCTAAAACTAGAGAATCTGAAAACATACTAGATAATAGTATAATATTACTGTTAAATTTATTGATTAACATGCTTGTGTTAGAACATATAAGGGAATGTCCTTGTTTTTACAAGGTATACATTTTTGTATTTAAAGGTGAAATCCAAGTTTTAATGAACATTTCTACAACTTACAAACAATTGAGCAAAATATAGATTATATTGATGGAGAAAATATGGGAAGACACTAACAGCTGATGAACCAGGTGAAGGTGTGTATATGTTCATCATAATATTCATTCCATGTTCCTGTGATTTGAAAATTTTAAAACAATAAATTGGAGGCTTGGGACTCCCTGGTGGTCCAGTGGCTAAGAATCCAATTGCCAATGCACAGGACATGGGTTTCATCCCTGGTCCAGGAAGATCCACATGGCAAGGAACAAGTAAACCCATGTGCCACAACTACTGAGCCCACACTCTAGAGCCCACAGGCTGCGACTACTGAGGCTGCAGGCCACAGCTACTGAAGCCTGTGCGCTCCACAGCCCAGGTGTCACAACAGGAGAAGCCATGTCAGTGAGAAGCTGTGCACTGCCACAAAGATTAGCTCCTGTTTGCCACAACTAGAGAAAGACTGCAAGCAGCAATGAAGAACCAGCACAGCCAAAAGGGGAATAAAAAGAAAAAATGGAGACCTGAAGCCAGACAGACTGGGCATAAGTCCTGCCTGGCTCTGCCAACTGGGCAAGTTGCTAAACTTATTCCACCTTAGCTTCCTAAACTCTAAGACTATATTATTGAGAGGGTAACAGGCAGGAAGGCCAGGGGTCTCTAAATGGAGGAAACAGGCTGCAAATGCCATACATTTTTATCTCTTTTAAGTGGCAGGAGGAAACAAACTATTGATATTTTTTTCTTTCTCTATACAAATTTAAAAGGAGGTTTCTCTTAAAATGCTGTGTTGCCATGACACCTGGTTTCACCTGAAGCTAACTAACTATTCTCAAACCTTGAGTTAACCAATACAGTTTTTCTTATGGAAATGTTTGTCCTAAGCTATGTTAATGTACTATGCATTTACCCCAGACTCTGTCTTCAAGTTGGTTCCGCCAAATGGCTCAACCTACTTGACAAACCAGTATGTTATATTCAGATATTGTTCCCCTAATCTATGTAAATGAAACTATTTGTATGGTAATCTGCCCTTCTACAAGATTCAAGTCAATCGTTTTATGGCCCAGGATGAATCATCTGGTACCAAGATTATCACAAAATGCAATTTATGGATGAGGGGCCTGGTGCCATTCCGAGTTTTAAGACATTCCTTTCTTTTCATTAACAGACTGCCAGTGACTATATAACATCCAGCTGAAGACTAGCAGGGGAGTATTCTTTCTGCCCCCTTCTGATGCCTATGTCAGAAGCTTCCTCTATCTCCTTTATACTTTAATAAAACTTTATTACACAAAAGCTTTGAGCGATCCAGCCTTGTCTCTGACCCCGGATTGAATGTGTCTCCTCCAGAGGCCAAGAATCCCAACGTCTTATCATTCAGCAACAACCTTTCATTATCATAATTATAAAGATGGGTACCTCCTAACATTGATAGAGTATAAAATGAGTCAGTACATGTAGAATTTATGACAGATCAATAGATATTGCCCAATATTAACAATGCTGTGAGCTAGCCTCTCTTCATGTTCTGCTCCATTTTCCTCCTTTGCATGTATCAGCACTGAGACCTTGTTACAAGTGCATTGACTTGTTTTACATCTTCTCCAAGAGAATTTAAGCTCCAAGGGTAGAGATTTTGTCTTTTGATGACTGTGATAGTCCCACAATCTGCAACACTGCCTGTCTAACAAGTTCTCAGGAGATATTTGTTGGCCGTATGAATGAAGGCATGAGTGTATCGCATCGTGTAACACATTTGTTCCTAAAAATTAGAAAATAAATCCACATATATAAATAATTTATACATAACACTATCTTCTTATTAAGTGTAAAAGGAATATATTATAACAATTAACTGGGTCCAAGATATCACAACCTCACACTTTAAACAGTGGAAAGCACTGAAAAAGTTATGAATTAAGGAAAATGGAGTAAATAATACTATTCAAAACTGTACATCTCAGCACAGAATCCTTCAGACTGTTTTTGAGTTTGGGAAAATACCAGAATATAGTAAAATTGAAAAATTATACACTGAAATTGAAGGCACTCTATTTCTATCACCATAAACATTTTCAATGTAACCTACTACATGTACTCTATCAAAAACCAGGCACCAACACCCCTCACAGGAGATCAACACACATGTCAGATGGTTTCTATATTTTGTGGAACCTTCTTACTTTTCAAAAAGAAAGGTTGGTGTGGACTGAAGGAGACACTGAAATGCAATCAACAGATGGGGAAGAGCTTTTACTAGAGCAGGACCGGCAGTAAGGGAAGTAAGGGATTTTAGTAACTTAGTAAAGTTAGCCTGTTCACTTAACACAGGGCACGGAAGTGGACATGTGACCTGTCCCACCGCAAGGACTGAACTGCGTGGTTCCTGATGCACAGGCTGCTGATGCCCAGGTTTCTGTATCTTGGTTTCCTGTGTGATGAAACACACTTCTGTCCGAACAGAGACATTATCAACATCGAACATTTGACTGCATGATTTCCTCCCCAGTTTTGACAGGACAGACCATATGCTTAACTTCATATCCCAGAATCCCAGCTGTTTTGTTTTCATTTTTTTAACAGAAGCGACACATTGGTGATTCATTTTGAGAGTTTGATCTACTGTGCTCTTTTAACCTTTGATTGATAAGGTGCTTCCTCTTCAGGTACATTCATGTTATACTTGTGGCATTATCTTGCTTCTTAGTGCCCCAATCAGCACTAATTAACTGAAGAATTTTTGTCACTTTATAGTAAGATGGCTAATTTACAGTATATAAAAAAAATGTATTTTCAGCATATTTTGAAAAATAACCAAGATGAGATGGGCAGCATCCACTGGACTGCCTCCCTTCTGAATGTCCATCTCTCCCAAGGAAGAAGGAGGAAACAGGACTGCTGCTGCTGCTGCTAAGTCACGTCAGTCGTGTCCGACTCTGTGCCACCCCACAGATGGCAGCCCATCAGGCTCCCCCATCCCTGGGATTATCCAGGCGAGAACACTGGAGTGGGTTGCCATTTCCTTCTCCAATGCAAGAAAGTGAAAAGTGAAAGTGAATTTACTCAGTCGTGTCCGACTCTTAGCGGCCCCATGGACTGCAGCTTACCAGGCTCCTCCGTCCATGGGATTTTCCAGGCAACAGTACTGGAGTGGGTCCCCAGTGCCTTCTCTGGGAAACAGGACTAGAGGACTTTAAAAGAGGAAAACATAGTGGTTCCCTCCTACTCACTCACACTCAGGCCACCTCTGTGAGTTTGGGTTCACATGTCCAGTTTGGCACCACTTATACACTAATAACTATGGTTTTCAGTTCATATAAAAATTGACCTCACTGGTTAGTGATACCTCTTAGAGTGACAGGCTTTCCAGGTGGTACAGTGGTTATGAATCCTCCTTCCAAATTCAGGAGATGCAAGAGATGCGGGTTCAATTCCTGGTTTGGGAAGATCCCTTGGAGGAGGAAACAACAACCCATTCCAGTATTTCTTGCCTGGAAAACTCCATGGACAGACGAGTCTAGTGCACTATAGTACCACAGAGGGTCACAAAAAGTCAGACATGATCAAGCATGCACAAACACACACTTAGAGTGATAAATCACCCCATTATTATATTTCTTCAGGAATTTTTATCACATATGTATGTTTTCAATGAAAGATTTGGTAGGTTTTCTTTAAAACAGTCATAAAGAAGCAATTCCTAGAGAAAAACAATGATGGGATGATTTCTCTAAGTGACATTACCAAAGTTAACACAGTAAATTCTTGAAGCAATATCCAAAAACCACATACTTCACTTTTGAAATAGACTCACATCTATTTCTTTTTATAGAAAGCTCCAAATGTAGTTTAAATAAAGGTAGATCTTAGTATCATCTACCCCTTCTACCACTTCATCATTTTTAGAATTTAGATAAAAGTTGCCTCTCTGTCCATGGAACAATGTGTTCTAAAATTCTGGAGTAATTTTTCTACCTGAGAATCTGTGAAAAAATATATCACCTAGGAAACAAATAGAAAAATAATTTACCAGTACTTTCAGTATCTTTCTTAAGATGTCATAATTTCACCATTAAACCTGTCCTGTGAATTCAAGATCAGTTAGTTGAATTCAGTTCAGTCACTCAGTCATGTCCTACTCTTTGCAACCCCATGGACTACACAACACCAGGTTTCCCTATCCATCACCAACTCCCAGAGCTTACTCAAACTCATGTCCATCAAGTCAGTGATACTATCCAACCATCTCATCCTCTGTCGTCCCCTTCTCTTCCTGCCTTCAGCCTTTCCCAGCATCAGGGTCTTTTCCAATGAGTCAGTTCTTCACATCAAGTAGCCAAAGTATTGGAGTTTCAGCTCCAGCATCAGTCCTACCAGTCAATATTCAGGACTGATTTCCTTTGGGATAGACTAGTTGGATTTCCTTGCAGTTCAAGGGACTCTTAAGAGTCTTCTCCAACACCAGAGTTCAAAGTCATCAATTCTTCGGTACTCAGCTTTCTTTATAGTCCAACTCTCACATGACTACTAGAAAAAGCATAACTTTGAGTAGAAGGAAATTTGTTGGCAAAGTAATGTAATATTTAAAGTAATATGCTGCTGAGATTGGTCACAGCTTTACTTTCAGGGAGCTAGCGTCTTTTAATTTCATGGCTGCAGTCACCATCTGCAGTGATTTTGGAACCCCCCCCCAAAAAAAGTCTTTCAGTGTTTCCATTGTTTCCCCATCTATTTGCCATGAAGTGATGGGACCAGATGCCATGATCTTTGTTTTCTGAATGTTGAGTTTTAAGCCAACTTTTTCACTCTCCTGTTTCACTTTCAACTGCAGCTTCTTCAGCATTCTTCAGCAAGATCAGTGGATCATCCTATCTAATTACATTTGATAGTTAACTGCTCTTCCCTCTTCTCTTCTAGAATTTCACTATAGACTCAAAGACTTAAACAATCAGAGGTGCACTTCTTTGGGGGCAGGAAAAGGTAAAGCAATTGGCCCAATTTAGGAAAACAAAATCCTCACGTTGCTGGAAAGCCAGGTGGGTGTGTAAAGACTCAGTGCTGACATCCTTCAAAAACCAGAATTTCTGGCTGGAAATGTAGGACCTCCATCCAAATCAGCCTGCTCACAGTCAAGGCTAATCTACATATTACAGGCTTCAGAGCTTGCTTGGAAGGGTAACCTAAATGACAAATACATCAATTCAAAGCAACATGAACAATTACTCGGATTTGTATAACAAAAAAAATTGAAAGAACTATGCTAACCTTCTCTGAAATGAAGAGAGCAATAAAAATTTGGTAGTTATTTATGTCAAAGAGTGTTTTATCTTTGTTTTCTCTAAGAGTTTTATTGGGTCCGGTCTTACATTTAGGTCTTTAATCCATTTTGAGCTTATTTTTGTATATGGTATTAGCTGCTGCTGCTGCTAAGTCTCTTCAGTCGTGTTCAACTCTGTGTGACTCCATAGACAGCAGCCACCAGGCTCCTCTGTCCCTGGAATTCTCCAGGCAGGGATACTGGAGTGGGTTGCCATTTCCTTCTCCAATGAATGCATGCATGCTAAGTCTCTTCAGTTGTGTCTGATTCTGTGTGACCCTATGAATAGCAGTCCACCGGGCTCCTCTGTCCAGGGGATTCTCTAGGCAAGAATACTGGAGCGGGTTGCCATTTCCTTCTCCAATATGGTATTAGGGAATATTCTAATTTCATTCTTTCACATGTAGCCATCCAATTTTCCCAGCACCACTTTTGAAGAGATGTCTTTTCTCCATGCTAGATTCTTGCCTCCTTTGTCATAGACTAGGTGACCGTAAGTATGTGACTTTATCTCTGGGCTTTTTATACTGTTCCATTAATCTATATTTCTATTTGTGTGTGTGTGCCAGTACCATGCCATCTTGATTACTGCAGTTCTGCACTGAATTTGTCAAAAAGTTCATTTGGGTCTTTCTATAATATCTTATGTAATGAACTTTTTGGCCAACTTAATAATGTAGTCTGAAGTCAAGGAACCTAATCCCCAGCTTCATATTTTCTTTCTTAAGATTGCTTTGGCTATTTGGGATCTTCTGTGTTTCCATACAAGTTGTAAAATTTTTTGCCCTAATTCTATGAAAAATGCCATTGGTAATTTGACAGGGATTGTATTGAATCTGTAGATTCTTTGGGTAGTATAGTCATTTTCACAATATTGATTCTTCAAATCCAAGAATATTTTTTTCAGTCTGTTTGTGTCAACTTTGGTTTCCTTTGTCAGTAAATTACCGTTTTCTGAGTACTGATCTTTTGCCTCCTTAAGTAGGTTTATTCTTATGTATTTTATTCTTTTTGTTGCAATGGTAACAGGATCCTTTCCTAATTTCTCTTTCTGATCTTTCATTGTTAAGTGTATAGGAATATGCATGCTTACTTTTTAGAAGCACAAGACTGAGCTAGGTCCTATGAAAAATTTAAAGACTGTCTATGGTTTAGAAGTCTAGAGTTTCTGCCCTCAGTAGAATCAATTTGTAAAATTAGGGCAACACTAAATATTCAAACCAACAGCAAGATAATAGTCAAAAATGTTTCATGCAAGGGTAAGGGAATTCAAAGAAGTGGGGCAAGGGGAAACATGATACAAAAAATGACAGAAAATTCTCCAGAAATGAACCTCTCCATATAAAAGCTTAGCAAATTCTCCAGGGTTCCATTACCTGCATTCATGCTTCAGCACTAAAATGACAGAATCACCAATAAATAATCATTCTCACATTCCAGGGCTTCCCTGGTGGCTCAGACAATAAAGAATCTGCCTGCAATGTGGGAGATTCAGGTTTGATCCCTGGGTTAGGGAGATCCTCTGGAGGACAGAATGGCAACCCACTCCAGTATTCTTGCCTGGAGAAGTCCATGGACAGAGGAGCCTGGCAGGCTACAGTCTGTGGGATAGCAAAGAGTCAGATATGACTGCATGAATCTCTTTCTTCTGTCTTCTTCTCATATTCCAACTATAAAATATACTTTTATAGACACTTTACTATGAAACTTCCTCATGTTATTGGTCTGACCTCATTCACATCTTTCAGTTAATAATGAAAAACTACTACTGTCTCCACTGAGTAGATGTTCCCTAAGATCAGAGGAATAAAATGAACACTGGAAGGTGATTAGGGTAATGACATCACTAGATCACTAGTAGAATTTTATCCCATAGCTTTAACATCTAATTTAGTGCTCTGCAAAGGATAAGATAATGTGCCTAGTCATTCAAAGTTTTAAGGAAAAAGCTAAAATGGAAACATGGCATTATATTGTTGGTTTTCATCATCATTAATTAATAAACATTGTAAGTGTACACATGTCATCAATGTTCTTCTAGGAGGTAAACAAAGTCAGTTAAACTGTTAAGCTCCTCTTAATTACCTTCAATGCTCAAAATGTACATGCATGGATACTGAGGCTAACAATTAATTATATTTAATATTAATAAATTACCTCTTCTAAGGCATTCCATAGTTCCTCATCTGTATGTTCATTAAAAGGATCCAGATTTTTCCTCATTGTTCCGGTGAATAAAACAGGTTCCTAAATACCCCAAAATACTGAATGTTATTACCTTAAACACTTTTCATTATATCCCAATGCTTACAGAACATAATTAAAATATAAAATATCAAAATTACTATAATTATTAATAATCAAATTGCAAATGTATATTTAGAAAACATTATCTATAAAATAATTTTCCATGTACAAAGTGTGCTACAAAATATCCTCCAGACTATTGAACATTAAAAGAAGAAAAAAGTGTTGAAGAAGTTTTTTATCTTAAGAGAAAAACTGAAGAAGAGAAAGGATTTAATTCTTTAAAAAAAAAAAAAAAGGCTTCCTGGGACCATGGGCTTAAGCACACACATGCAAAATTAGGATATAATTACTGGAGAAACTTTACATCAAGATATACATAAATTAATTGTCAATCTTAGTGTGACTGGGAAATATCAATAGCATGATTAGTTAGGTTTGTGACTCAAAACAAAACCATTAAATATTTACACATTGGCACTGAAGAACAAACTAGGCTCTTTTCTCCACTGGTCAAACAGTCTTCTAGGATATGGAATCTCTCCACTTGTGTGAAAGGAACATCCCCACACGTGCAAAGAGAAGTCATCTCCTGGGGTCTGCAGCACCTCTGTCCACGGAGAGATCGCCTCAGATTCTGCGTCAACCTGATCCCCACATTCTCCCACCTGTGTGTCAGGATGACCTGCCTCACAGAGCCTCCTTACTACTAACTGCAAGGTCAGGATGACCTGAAACCCATTATGACTGGGTCATAATAAAATTATTCAAATAACTTTTCCTGTTCAACTTTTGGAGGAGCCACAAGTAAACTGCCCTAGAAATGTATGTGTCCTTCCAAGTTTCAGGACTTCCCTGGTGGCTCAGAGGGTAAAACGTCTGTCTGCAATGCGGGAGACCCAGTTTCAATCCCTGGGTCAGCAAGATCCCCTGGAGAAGGAAATGGCAACCCATTCCAGTATTCTTGCCTGACGAATCCCATGGACAGAGGAGCCTGGTAGGCTGCAGTCCACTAGATTGCAGAGTCCAACATGACTGAGCAACTTCACTTTCTTTTCCTTTTTTCTAAGTTTCAAGAGAGAATCTTGTACAAAAGCTCCTGTAGGCCATTTATGTTTTCCTCTGGAAGGCTCTAATAAGCCAGGCCACAAGAATATGAGCAGCAGAGAAGAGCCCAACTGGTTCCTTTCAGTGAAGAGGGCAGAACAGGGGATGCACATGTGTGGGAACAAGGGGAGACCTGATGCTTCCACAAGTGCCCGGAACTCCTCGGAATCACCAGCCGCAAAATCCTGCCTGGCCTTGGGGCTAGACTTTCCTCCTCACTTCACAAAAGCCTGAGGAGATGAAGAAGACAGATATTTCTTTTTCCTAGTCATGAAGAAGAATGACACTCAGACAGCCTCCTATACCGTCTGTCAATATTGTCTCTGTTTTAAGTCTGGTGAGCAACAAATGAATGCAGAAGGCTCAGAGTGTGCCACCAAAAAATGTGTATCCCTAAGCAAAATCCTATATAAAAAGATGTTATATAGGAGCTTTATTGCACAAAGTTGATTAAGTGGCCAATATACCTCCAAAGTGGTGAAATCACTGCTCATACATTTCAAAATGATTACTGAACTGAAAACTCCCAAGACCCAAATTTAAGGTCTTCCTTAAAATTCTTGAATTTAGGACCAAGACCAAATAACCATCTGTGCAATGGTAAGAGTTCCTTGTTAGGGGAACCATCATTCTACTTCAGAGTTTCACAAAACTTTTTTTACTCTTTGTAATTATCAACCCTAAGATTCGAACATGCAGACAATTTCTCATCCTTCAGTTGTTTCCATGAGGTTAAAACAGATGACATGGCCAATCAAGGGGAGGCTGCTCCCCAGTATTCCTCTTTTCTCCATCTTCACTTCATTTTCCAGATCCTTTCAGATAAGCAGCTTCTCCCTGAACATAATCTCAATCAGTTTTCTTTCTGGGAAACACACTTAACTACTTCAGATCCTCAGCACAAAGGATGAACATACATCCTTTGTTCATCAACCTACTTTGTACATCAACCTACTTCAGATCCTCAGCACAAAGGANCTTCATTTTCCAGATCCTTTCAGATAAGCAGCTTCTCCCTGAACATAATCTCAATCAGTTTTCTTTCTGGGAAACACACTTAACTACTTCAGATCCTCAGCACAAAGGATGAACATACATCCTTTGTTCATCAACCTACTTTGTACATCAACCTACTTCAGATCCTCAGCACAAAGGATGAACATACATCCTACTTGCTCTGTTCAAGGAAATAACTTACGAGGAGCTTTCATTTTTGCTCATTCCTGAATTTTGAACACAAACTGAAGAGTACCTTCTTAAAAACACAGTATTCATCTTCAAAAGATCCCCCCAGGACTGATGGTCTATGTCTCTACTCCCCTGTCTCTGGTTCCTACCCAGATCCTTGCTGCTATCCCCTTTCCCCCAGTTCTGATCTGCTCATGCAGGGTCAGCAGGATGGTGGGATGAACCTGGGAGAGAGGTAGACAGAGGACCCCAGAAGCTCACTGCTGCTCCAAGGATCACAGGGAGCAGGCAGCCAGGGAAGATGCTGCGAGTTCATTATCTGAATGGCTCACCCAAGTGGGGCAACTCAAAGAAATAGCCCTGGGCTCCCCTTCTGCAGAGTCTGCTCTCAGCTCCCCAGGTTCCCCAAATTAGCATGCTGAGATACAAACATCACTGCTTCCTACTCATTTGGGGGGAAGAGAGATTTAAGTTCTCTGCACTTAGACAAGTTAACTTCATGTAACCAAACCAACAGACTTTCTTCATCTCTGAACCAGTAAGACATTGTAAAGACAAAGGGCTCTTGATTCAGGAGGGGTAAGATTTTGAGTATGTTTTCCTGACACTTATTAGCCAAAGACACATAAGCAAATAAACCCATTTCAGAACTGATGCTGCCCAAATAAGGGACAAGACAGTAGGAGTAGTATCTTCTGGCTTTGCTCCATACTTATTCACTTTTGTTATGGTTTGGGGACTCCTTTTGAGGATTTTTTTAACATAAAATGCTATGTTATGTTAAAAAATTTTCAGGAAAATATCTGATGAGAACATCATTTAGTTCAACTAACATTTATTGAAAAAAAAATAAACTTGGAGTCAGACAATTCTCAGTTCTGATTTTACTGCTCATTAGTTTTTAGACTCAGGGCAAATTATTAATATTCCCAAGACTTACTGCAAACTCGGGTTAGCCTTGCAGGGCTGCTCTGAGAATCTGGAATAACAGGGAAGCTCCTGCTATGATGCTAACATGGACCAGAAGCCCCCAGCAGGGGGACAGTGAGGGACGGTGTTTGTCAAAATGCAGGTACAACGAATGGATCAGGAAATCAATTTTGTGCCCCGTGACCATAATTTTGTCATTTATATGAACTAGAATAGAACCGGTATCACAGAAAATATCAGAGCACAGAGCAAGAGTAATATTATTTGTGAAATTTTTGTTCCCCTGTGTGTATGTGTGTATGCACACGGAGGCACATGAATCATGACACAAATCAATTATACGTGGACCAAACTCAACAGCCACTCTAAGGCAGAAGCAGAGTAATTTGCTGCCCAGGCTCTGGAGCTGGGAATCTCTTTAAATTTGAATCCTGTTATTATATTTTGGAAATTAATACCTTGCTGGTTGCAACATTTGCACATATTTCCTTCCCTTCCAGAGGCTGTCGTTTCAGTTTTATTTATGGTTTACTTGGTGCTTCGATTCTTTTAACTAGGCCCCTTTATTTTTGCTTCTGTTTCCATGACTTTAGGGGACAGATCCAAGAATATATTGCTGTGATTTATGTCAAAGAGTAATCTATGTTTTCCTTTAAGATCTTGTCTTACAAATCTTTAGGTCTTTAATTTATTTTGACTTTATTTTTGTCTATGTTATTAGAGAAAGTTCTAATTTCATTCTTTTACATATAGTTGCCCAGATTTTCCAGCACTATTTATTGAAGAGACTGTCTTTTATCCATTACATATTCTTACCTCTTTTGTCTTAGATTAACTGACCATAAGTGCATGGGTTTATATCTGGGTTTTTTACCCTGTTCCATTAATCTATGTGCCTGGTTTCTGTGACAGGAACATACTTCTCATTATTGTGTGAGAAGTGTCTCTGTAGTACAGTCAGAAGTCAGAGATTGTGAATCCTCTAGCTGTGATCTTTCTCAAGATGGTTTTGGCTATTTGAGGTCTTTCCTGTCTCCATATAATTTTTTTTAAATTTATTTTGTTCTAGTTCTGTGAAAAATGCCATTGGTAATTTGATAGGGATTGCACTGAATCTGTAAATTGCCTTGTATAGTTTTGTCATTTTTAACAATATTGATCCTTTCAATCTAAGAACACAGTATAACTTTCCATCTGTTTGTGTTGTCTTCAATTTCTTTCATCAGCGTCTTACAGATAAAGGGTCTTTTGCCTTCTTAGGTAGGTTTATTCCTAGTTATTCCTAGCATTGTTTTTATTTTTTATTTTTTTCCCTTTGACATGATGGCCAATGAGGTTGTTTCCCTAATTTCTCTTTCTGATACTTTGCTTTCAGTCTATATAAATGCAAGAGATTTCTGTATATACAACAGTTATACAGCTCAATATCAAAGACAGAAACAACCCAATCAAAAAATGGACCAAAGATCTAAATAGACATTTCTCCAAAGAAAAATACAGATGGCCGAAAGGCATATGAAAAGATACTTGACATCACTAATTATTAGAGAAATACAGATCAAAACTACAATGAGTTATGATTTCACACTGGTCAGAATGGCCATCATGAAAAAGTCTGCAAATAATAAATGCTGGAAAGGGTGTGGAGAAAGGGTACATTCCTACACTGTTGGTGGGAATAGAAACTGGTGCAGCTATCACGGAAAACAACGCGGAGTTTCCTTAAAAAGCAGAAAAAGAATTCCCATGTGATCCAGCAACTCCACTCCTCAGTA